CTTCTGGCTTTTACAAATTCTTTATTAAAGAAATTAATCAAGATCATTTAGAAAGCTAACCAAAAAGTGAAATAAAGCTTTCACTTGTATTTAAACATAACACAAACAAATGCTGAGCATAAATTTAAATGATAATTTTAAACATTCATAAATTGGAACTGATCATGAAAGCTGCATACTATAAAACACTTCCAGGACTCCAGTACCTCAAAACCTATGAAGCAAAAAAAGCAAATAAAAGAAAGCAACAGCAATGAGGCACATGTGTCTGCAGCAGCAACAGCAGCAAACCAATAGCATCAGCATCAAACCAGTACCAACAAAGATTTTAGCCAGGGCTGAAGGCAATAAGGTATTAGAGCTTCTTGAAAATAAAGCAGTATGTGAAACTAAAGAGGATCATCAAATTACAAAAACTGTCCCTTTTGGGAAGGCACTCAATTTTTAACCAGCAAAATGTTCACTGCCCAAGCTAGAAATGCTGCCAAATGCTGGGGTTTGCTGCTGGGTGATTCATCGTATATTCTCCTACAAGCACGGTTAGAAACAGAATAATGAAAATAATTAAAATAATGAAAAATCGTCAGTTCAAGAGAAAAAACAAGAACCAAGCTGTCCATCAAATACCCTCCTTTAAAGTCCTATAGTTCAAGCATTTGAAAAAAAAAACATAAAACCAAAACAACAAACAAATAAAAAAAACAACTAGAAACCCAAATCCACACAAGAAAGAAACCAAAGGGCAAATATCAAGGCATTTTAAGAATGTGTTGATATTCTACCAAATCTAGTTTATAGCTCTACATCAAAACATAACTCAAGACCTTTGCTTATATTTCCTAATAAACATACAAACTTTGGCAGCCTTGTAAATTTGCTTCAATTTAGCAAAATACTAACCATATGCCTAAAACTAAAAACAATTTTTACTTCCCTGAATTCAACTGGAAATAGAAACATGCATATATATCATTAAAAAGAAACATAGGCTCTAGTGATGTGCCCAGAGCCTCAGTGATGAAGGATCTTAAATAATTCATGATTGAAACCACTTTGAAATTCTTTAGTGAAAGGCAGCATGTCAAGAAAAATATTGGGCTTTTATCCTATTTTGAGCCAGTAACACTTCAAAATGCACACGTATTTTTTAAACCAGATGGCAGAAAACCTTATCACTTGACCCAGTTCTACAAGGGGTTTGACTGTAACACCAAGGCCTAAAGCTGAAATAAGCGCATTATTTTCATACTCTCAGCTGCTGAAAGATATTTCCTCATTCTGCAGGGGAGACACAAAAACTAATGAGCTCAGCAGCCCCATCTCTCCTTTGATAAGCTTATGACACTTCCCAATGTTACCAGCTAGGTTTCATTTATTTTTATATCGATATAAATAGATATATAGAAATGCATGTGTGTAATATTTTTGTACTTTATATATATATATAGATATATATATATGTACACACACACACACATCTCTCGCTCTGGGGACTCCTGCCAGCAATCGAGAATGGGTAGAGCCCTCCTTCCCCGGAGCCCTTCTGTCTGGCACTTGAGTATCTCCAGAGCTAGGGCACAAACACGACTACCGGTGACATGCTACGGCAGCTGCATACAGATCTTGCGATATTGAAGATGGATCCTGCTCTCCCCGCAGAAGCAGCCTCCACGGCTTCGCTACCTGCTTCATTAAAAACAAAGCCCGGCCCTCGCACGGCAGCGCAACGCCCCGAATGCACAGGCTGGCACCCGATCGAAGCAACACGCCCCTCCGCAACTCGGCAGGAGCTGCGAGGGGGGACGCCGGCCCCGGGAGAAGAGGATCGCAGCGGGGCTGTCCTGGCCAGAAGCAATCTCCACAGGGCAGGCAGGAAACAGAGGTATCCGCCCGGCAGTGGGAACGCGGGGGGCGGGGGCGGAGATCGGTACCTGAGGCCGCCGCGGCGGCAGGGTCCCCCATCGGTAGCGCCGCCAGCTGCTGCAGCGGGTGGGTGGCTTCGCCACCGTCGACGAGAGGCGGCCGCCCCAACAGCAGCAGCAGCAGCGTCGCGGCCGCCAGCCCCAGGAGCAGGGAGGAGAGGCGCCTGCAGGTCCCCAGCATGGCGAGCAGCCCGAGGGCAGCGGAGGCATATTGCGGGCAAGAACGCTAACGGGAAGCCGGGACCTGCAGCGGCTCCGGCAGCGGCGCGACAGGAGCTGCAATGGAGCCTCCCCGCGCACGCGCGCGGCAACAGTCGGCACAGCAGGCACCGGCCCGCCCCGGCTCCCGGATGTGGGGCAGGAGGGGCCGTGGTGTTGCTGAAGCGCGGGTCTGGAAAGGGCGGTGGGAAAGGGGTGGGGTGGTTCGTTTTCTGTAGCAACGAGCGAGAGCCGCGGTAAGGGGAGGGACAGCTGCCGGTTGCAGCCCGGCCTTGAAGCCCTGCGGAGGCGGAGGAGGTGCGGGCTGACTGCTTTCTTGAGGAGCCTCGCCGTTCGTACCTGCTGATGGCGGTTGAGGCCTGCTGCCGGGCAGAGAAGAAGGAGAACCGGGTTGTGGCCTTCGGATAGGTTACCAAGGGAAGGAAACCGCGCCGCGATCGCGACCATTCAGCCCTCCGAGCTGGGAGCACATTAGTTGTTTGTTGAAAGAGTGTTAAACCGCCTTACGCAACCCCAGTGCAGCACGTAGTGTATACCGGGTGGGTGCATATGGTGGCTTGGTGTCGCTGGAAAAGCGCTTTCACTCAGGCACTGGCATAGCTGTATTTTAGTGTCTCCTAAAGCTTTGATTCCACACACTGGCATGTCTTTGCCCTATCTACACATGTTTATTCTCATTAACGGCCCTAATAGCAAACAATCCACATTTTTTAGATTTAAGGATACACATAAATGTAGGTAAAATTGGAGTGTGCTTGCGGACGCAACCTAGGGATCATGGAAAAACTGCTCAAGTTGTTGACAGCAGGTAAGACTGCTGCACCTTACTAAAGACGGAACAGCTAGGTAAATCCAGCTTACCCACAGAATGAAACTGTGTGCATATTTAAGGGCTAAATGTGTGCCAGCACCACCTCACAATGAATTTCACAGTATCACAGTATCACAGTATGCTAGAGATTGGAAGGGACCTCAAAAGATCATCTAGTCCAATCCCCCTGCCGGAGCAGGAACACCTAGATAATGTTACACAGGAATGTGTCCTGGCAGGTTTTGAATGTCTCCAGGGAAGGAGACTCCACAACCTCCCTGGGCAGCCTGTTCCAGTGTTCCGTCACCCTCACTGAGAAGAAGTTTCTTCTCAAGCTTAAGTGGAACCTCTTGTGTTCCAGTTTATACCCATTACCCCTTGTCCTATCATTGTTTGCCACTGAGTAGAGCCTGGCTCCATCCTCGTGACACTCCCCCTTTATATATTTATAGACACTAATAAGGTCACCCCTCAGTCTCCTCCAAACTATAGAGACCCAGCTCCCTCAGTCTTTCCTCATAAGGGAGATGCTCCACTCCCTTAATCATCTTAGTTGCCCTGCGCTGGACTCTCTCCAGCAGCTCCCTGTCCTTCTTGAACTGAGGGGCCCAGAACTGGACACAATATTCCAGATGGGGTCTCACCAGGGCAGAGTAGAGGGGAAGGAGGACCTCTCTCGACCTACTAACCACCGCCCTTCTAATACACCCCAGGATGACATTGGCCTTCTTAGCCACAAGGGCACAGTGTTGGCTCATGGTCATCCTGTCGTCCACTAGGACTCCCAGGTCCCTCTCCCCTACACTGCTCTCTAACAGGTCGTTTCCCAACCTATACTGGAACCTGGGGTTGTTCCTGCCCAGATGCAGGACTCTACACTTTCCCTTGTTATATTTCATCCAGTTATTCCCTGCCCAACTCTCCAGCCTGTCCAGGTCTCGCTGGATGGCAGCACAGCCTTCTGGCGTGTCAGCCACTCCTCCCAGCTTAGTGTCATCAGCAAACTTGCTGATAGTACACTCAATTCCCTCATCTAAATCATTGATGAATATATTAAATAATACCGGTCCCAGTACTGACCCTTGAGGCACTCCACTAGTTACAGGCCTCCAACTAGACTCCGCCCCATAGACTACAACTCTCTGGCTTCTCTCCTTCAGCCAGTTCGCAGTCCACCTCACTACCTGATCATCCAGTCCACACTTCCTCAATTTAGCCGTGAGGATGCTGTGGGAGACTGTGTCAAATGCTTTGCTGAAGTCAAGGTAGACCACATCCACCGCTCTGCCATCATCCATCCACCGTGTTATTTCCTCATAAAAGGCTAAGAGATTGGTCAAACATGATTTCCCCCTGGTGAAGCCATGTTGACTGCCCCTCATAACCCTCTTATCCTTGATATGCCTTAAGATGGCACCAAGGACAAGGTGTTCCATCACTTTCCCAGGGATGGAGGTGAGGCTGACCGGTCTATAGTTACCCGGGTCCTCCTTCTTGCCCTTTTTGAAGACTGGACTGACATTCGCTTTCCTCCAGTCCTCAGGCACCTCTCCCGTTTCCCAAGACTTGGTAAAGATGATGGAGAGTGGTCTAGCAATGACTTCCGCCAGTTCCCTCAGCACCCGCGGGTGCATCCCATCTGGACCCATAGATTTATGGATGTCCAGATTGCTCAACTGATCTCTAACCCGCTAGTGTTGATGAGTGAGCCCATGCAATGATTTCAGTGAGCCAAACCCTCACTGCAGGGACATTCCAGAACTGGACAATACTACATTTTCAGTGTATGAGTGGTGTATATAAACTCCTTGGAAAAGTATAAAACCACTTTATTTGCCTTCTAATAAAATAAATATTAGCTATTAAAAATCTTTCTTTTAGACATAATGGCATATCAGGCCAAATTTTTTTAGTTTTCAGATCAGATAAATTTCTTCAAATGTAGGGGGAAGACTATAAAGGAGTAGAAATTTTCCCACACTAAAAAGAAGAGCTACCAGGTTACAGTCTGTATTTTCAACAGTTCTCTCATAAACTAAAGAAAACAGTACATTTTTTCTTACGATTTAAAGCCATTCTATAATGTAGTTAATTGCCATTAACAATGACTTCATATAGATTTGGGATTGGCATAGAAAATACAGTTCACTTTTACTGGAGTTGCTAATAGTCTGCTGGCACTTTTTGGAACTGCCAGAGAATGGACTGACTTCATCACTTGTTGTTGTGGTTTAAACTCAGGTAATTCGTTCGCTCACTTCCCCCCCCTTTCTTGCCCTCCCCCTGCTCCCGGAGGGACGGAGAGGAGAATCGAAAAGAATGCAACTCCCACGGGTTGAGATAAGAACAGTTTAGTAACTAAGGTATAACACAAATCACTACTGCTACCACCAGTGATAATAATGATAAAGGAAATAACAAGGGAAGAGAATACATCATCTCACCACCAGCCGACCGATAACTCGCCCCCCCAGCCCGACCAAGCTCTGACCGATACCTCCTCCAACCCTGCAGACTCCCAGCCCTTCCGGCTAACTCCCAGTCACATCCTGGGCATGACGTGCTGTGGTATGGAATACCTCTTTGGCTAACTTGGGTCAGGTGTCCTGTCTCTGCTTCCTCCTGGCTCCCCCTCCTCCCTGGCAGAGCATGAGGCTCACAAAGTCCTTGGCCAAACCAAAACATCGCTTGTTATCAGCTCTGTTCCCGAGCTGAAAGTCAAAACACTGCACTGCACCAGCTACCAAGAAGGGGAAAAATGACTGCTACTGCTGAACCCAGGACACTTGTGCATTATGAACCACCACTACCTGCAGCATAACACTAGTGGGAAATGGACAGCCTCCTCAGCAGGTTATCTTCAGTACTTTCCTTTAGAATGGTATCACAGTCTCCCTTTTCTTCATCAGCACAAAAAAATAAAAGAAAAAAACCACCAAAACCCAAAACCACCCTAAGTAAGCAAAGAGCACAAAGAACAGACAAATAAACCAATTATTTGTTTACTTGATATGGAACCCTCCTCCTGCATCTCACAGACAGATTCTGTTTTGATTAGAAAAAATTAGTTCAGTGTCTGCCTCCCTCCTTCACATCACGACACCCAGCTTCTTCATTTAACCTCGTATCTGTGCACAGCAAAAAGCTGCTTCCACACAGCCTCTGTTAGAGCTGAATTCATTTTGGAATCCCTACAACACTGCATCTTCTCAGGTGGAAGAAAGGGGTCTACAGAAAGCTAACTAATGCTTTGAGTAATTTGCTCCCTTTGTTCATGAATTTGTCTGATAAATCTGTATGTGGTAACAGGAGGTGTAGATATATACATAGAATCACAGAATGGTTTGGGTTGGAAAGGACCTTAAAGCTCATCCACTTCCAACACCCCTGCCACAGGCAGGGACACCTTCCTCTAGCCCAGGTTTCTCCAAGCCCCATCCAACCTGGCCTTGAACACTGCCAGGGATAGGGCAGCCACAGCTTCTCTGGGCAACCTGTGTCAGCGTCTTGCCAGCTTCATGGTAAGGATTTTTTTCTTAATATCTAATCTAAATGTACCTTCTGTCAGCCTAAAGCTATTCCCCCTTGTCCTATCCCTGCATATTCTAAGTAAGTGCTTTAAAGAGAAGTCTTGGTGATGGGTATCAGTGCTGAGCCTGCAGCCATGGGCAGACCTGAGCCCTATGTGGATTGTTTCTTGAGCAGCTGTTAAAGCCAGATGAGGGTTTCACAGTCTGTCTTCCCTAGTAACCATGTTAATTTCCAAATGTTCATAGGCTTGGGTAAATCAAGTTTATCCGGGGAGAAATAGTTGAACCAACTTGGCAGCTCCCTCATTTTAAACTAATGTTCTTGATACGAATATGCACGATTATTTATTTATAAAGTTCTGAAACAAATCTGTTAAATGTGCAGTAAGAGTTTCATTGAAAATGGCTTCAAAAGGGGAATAATGTGTGGAAATTAATTGTTTGTACTGCATTTAGATAAATTACTGAGAAGTGATTAAAGCACACAGTAACACCCTGTCGTGGTTTAAGCCCAGCCAGCAACCCAGAAACCACGTAGCAGCTTGCTCACTCCCCGCTCTTCCTCCCCCTGCTCCCAGGGGGATGGGGAGGAGAATTGGAAGAATGTAACTCCCACAGGTAGACATAAGAACAGTCCAGTAACTACCATATTAACACACAACCACTACTGCTACCACCAATAATAATAATAATAATAAGGGAAATAACAAGGGAAGAGAATACAACCGCTCACCACCCGCCAACCGATACCCAGCCCAACCGGAGCAGTGACCTAGCCCTTCTGGGTAACTGCCCCCAGTTTATATACTGGGCATGACGTGCTGTTGTATGGAATACCTCTTTGGTCAGTTTGGGTCAGGTGTCCTGTCTCTGCTTCCTCCTGTCTTCCCCTCCTCCCTGGCAGAGCACGAGACTCACAAACTCCTTGGTCAGAGTAAACATTACTGAGCAGCAACTGAAAACATCAGTGTTATCAGCACTGTTTCCAGGCTGAAAGTCAAAAACACAGCACTGCACCAGCTACTAAGAAGGAGAAAAATGACTGCTACTGCTGAACCCAGGACACACCCATTTCAGAAAAAAAAAAAATCATAATCAGTATTATATTTTCTTAACAAAATTTTCTGTGAAAAGGAATGAAAGCTCGTAAGTTACTTATATCAACTACCCAAGTATTTACTTGAGGAAGTATGTCCAGCAGTAACTCCTGCAGTCTTTAAAGGGTGCTCACTCTTCGAACAAATTACAAACAGCAGCAGCCACTGAGATACAACATGGCATCTGGTATTTTGTCAGGGATGGAAAAGCATGTACACAAATGACACAAAAATGTAAATATAGATTCTGAAAAACTGTCTGAAAAACAGTAACAGGCTCAGACTGCATGTGAAATTGTAAAGAAGTAATGTGGTGTTTGACTTTTTTTTGCTTCTCACATTTGGATGCTATGTTTAAAAAAGAAGTATTTTCAGTTTTTCAGGGTTCTTAGTCACTTGAACTGGCCATTAAAATATATTAACAAAGAACGATGTAACAAAGTATTAATGTATTAGTAATTAACTTACTAAAAGCATACAATAAAATATTATGTGTGTATGCAAAGAGTCAGAAAACCAGGCAACATCAAGCAGCATAACTTAAGTGGAAGCAGTGGAGTTGTGTTCTAAGTAACCTCAAGACATGGACCATCATTTTGTTTAAGAAGGTTATGGCATAAGATGGGAATTTGAAAAACCACTTTTGCCTTGTTGATGTAATGAGACAGCTGTTGTCTCTAATTTCTCAATAATGCATTAATTTGGAACTACTAAACAACAATCACTATGCTGATAACTAACTGAAGGTGTTTTATTTAACAAAACCTAGGTCTGTGTATACTGAACACATGGCAAGAGTCATGTTTTCAATATTGCTGTAATGTTTCCTTATGCACATTAAGTGTAGCTACTGTAAGGTCACTGGAAGCTGTTAATTAAAACACAACTATCAGTTTTTCTTCTTTGCAGTGTCCTTTTTTATTATTTTCTTTAGGTTAACAAATTCTCTACTAGCAATCCAGGGAACTCTGTAGTTCAGAGATTTTTCTAAAGGGTTCACAAGCACAACATTTATTTCTAAGTAAGTGTCCTAGCAATATAAAATAAACATGTCTTTATTGTGAGACAGAATATTTACTGTTACCCACTCACAAAGATCGCTAAATAAGAAGAATGTAATACTAAAGCAAAATTAGTCAAATAATACAAGAAACCCACCCTCCTGAGAATTTTCCTAAACAAAGGACAAAAATTCACTATTTCTACAGTGATGTGGCAGCTATAAAATAAGAAATACTTTCAATATACAAAATTTTTTGTAGGAAATAAGTCTTCTCGTGACACAGTATGATTTGTGACTAGATCTTCTTTCTTGCCTACGATTCCCATTTTTTTTAGACTCAAGTTAGTATTTGCTTCTTTAGCTGAGAATGTAAAAGTTGAATAAATGTGACCTTTTTGTACTTGTGGATTATAATCATATACTATGAAATATCTTCAGGTGAATTGAATGCAACTTTAAAAATATGTCCAGAATTAAAACAAACAAAACCCCCACAACCAAACCAAAACAGAATCCCTATTAATTAAGAGGTATTTTATTCAAAAATTCTAAATAGCAGAATCAACTCAATACTTATATTTTTCAGTTTATCCAATCATAACATTTTGAAATGGTATACATATATAGAAAAATACAATCTAATAAATCAAATTTGAATTAGGATGAGAAGAATAAGTTGGAAAAAAAACCACAGCTTAATAGCTATATATTTGATATCAGTACAAAATTACAGTGCCACAATAGCCGCTTCTTTTTACGAGATTTATAATTTAATAAAAATAAGGTGACTTCAAATGTATATTGCTCTCCTCAAATGTACTGAAGGCCTTTGAAACAAGTTCATAGTTACTGAAAATATTCCCATTTGTTACAAGTGTTTACTACACAACTAAGAAATCCAAAATCCAGCACTCTCGTATGTTAATTTTCTGCCTGTGAAAATAATCCTCTACTGATTCAATGCACAAGCAAAAACAAAAAAGGAAAAAAAAAATTATTACAAAGAAATAGTGTTGCATTTTTAACATCTTAATATCATAACACACACAGGTTTCCTTCATGGACTAGAAAGGGCCTCCTAAACCTGCAAGCCTTTTTGATGATGCAAATGCGACACTAATCTTCATTTACTTTGCAAAAGCCAAGGGTCAAGTTATTTAACCTTAATGCAGCATATTTTCATCACATGAAAGGTTAGATTTCCTGTCTCATATTAAAATTCTACACACTGGAAAAAAAAAAATAGACCAAAATGCTAAATACCATAATCACATGAAACAGTAGTAGTACTACAAAGTCAAACTCATTATTGTATAGGCTCTAGTCAAATTTTCCACAGTGGACCTAAAGAACATTGTACCAATTCTTAGTAACTCAAGAGTTAGTAATGGATGCACCTTACATCATGTTTCACTCAATGTGGGTGATGAAAAACTTGCTATATCATTCATTTATCACCTCAATTTAACACACTGGTTTTGTTAGTGTCCTTAAAAATACTGATGCTTGGAAATCAACAAATGCTATATTCCTTGTTCTTAGGCAAAGAAAAATAAGCAGACTACTAGGCAGTGAACTAGATCTGATCATGTTATATTGCACTTGGGAATTAGAAGCTGAAATTCAGTACCAATGATCCCACTCAAGGCAATGAGAGTTATTAGAGCTCAGCTTCTAATCATGATAGGAACTGTGGGATTTTTTTGTGACAGGAGGCCACAGCCAACAGAGAACTAACAGGTTCTTTCCATCTCTGAAATAGACAAGCTGTAAGGCTCTTCCATGGTCTGCCACAACCTTTTCAATTTTTGTATTTTCATTTTCCTTTTATAAAATCCTATCATTTTTTCAGCATTAAAAGCCAGCAGCACTGAATACAAAGGGTCACATTCAAAGCAAGTTGCATTGCATGTCAGGTTTTCTATGACTTCATTAGACTCTGGAATAGGTCTTTAGTCTGGACCAGAGACAAAAACTGACTAGATTTTCACCAGGGTAATGCTGCTTTGTGACTACTGGTGACAGTGTAAGAATAAACACTGCAGGGCCTTTGCCAGGGTAACCAACAGATTTTTGCAACAATTGGGTTTGCTAAGTGCAACATGAATCTTTAGGATCACCAAGAACATTCTGATTATAGTTGACATATTTTCAAAATACCTGTGAGAGTTTACCATAAAGATTATGTAAGCATCAAAGTTTAGAAATAACTAAATATTAAAAGTCTTTGCTTGGAAAAAATGCTTTATAAAGAGCGAGCATATAAAACTTTCTTAAAGTTTTCACAAGCATTAAGTGAATCAAAGATCAATGTGTAAATAATTTAAAACAGAAAAAATGGGACAAATAAAATGATAAACTTGATACTGATATCTGTGAACATTTCTTCAAAAATTTCAACTTCTGCTGATAAATGTATCCTATATTTGACTTTGCAGTCACTCTTAAACAAAAGCTATCTCCAAAATGTGTAGTTTATGGAAAGAAATGTAAACCTATAAATTAGGTTCCTTATTTTATGTTTTCTAAATATTGTCAGTCAAATTTAGTATTAGATAATACACATTTTGTAATAGAAATAACTTTTTAATAGTGATCATGAGATGCTACAGTAATGGCAAACTGGAGTACTTAGAGAATTTCATAATTCATTGTAAAAGATATATCTCTTAAAATGTTTTCATTGTCTAAATAATTACATAGCTGTTGAATTTATATAATAAAAAATAATGGTGCTGAAACATAACTCTCAAGAGGACTAGTTTTCTGTTACTGTACTTGTAATTCTTCAATACTTGCAGTATGCATCTTATGCCCATAATTTCTGACTCAAGGGCATTAATTTAATTTCAAAATAAATTTCTAAAAGTTTCTTTAAAAGTTTTAACATCATTCTACAATACTTGCTGTAAAAATACATCAGTGTCAGTATGTCAACATGAAATT